ATGTTGAACCTTCTGAAGGAGGATTTGTTTAGTCTGAACAGTGACAACAAAAATAGGAATAAATATTGTTATAGCTCAATTACTACACTATTGATTGAGAAATTTGACCAGACATGTTTATTCATTCATTCATTGCCCTGGCGGTCATTATTAGGCACTGCAGCCTATACAGACTGGCCAGAACTTGAATGTCCCGAGTGTCCCTGAAGTAGTTTTTTTTTATAAAACTTTATTCCTAAGTGTGTTTCTTTACAGTAACACATTACGCTCCAGTGTCTCCAGTGTTGGTCATGAGACACACATGTGACACGTGCTGCTGCAACATGGAGTGTACATATAAAACCTGGAGACATGTAACTATAGTGTTGAAGAAGTAATGGATTACTGCAGGTTACTCTATTTAAACATACCCAGGTCACAGACACAGACACAGAAAGAGCAGGACCACTGAGGGTTCAATTCAAACTAATGCAAACATGAAATATCACATTTAAATTCACTTACTGTCGAACAAGAGTTAAACCAAACCTCAGAGCCCTCATGCTGTTCACGACACACGTGAGCGCGCCTAGCTGCTCGCTCCCGGTGCTTTAAATAAAACTGCAGCCGTGCACGAGGTCTCCAGGAAATGAAGTGGATCAGTCCATGTTTGTCAGGACGAGCACGCTCCTGTCACGACCTGCAGCACAAACCAACGTCATCATTAGAAAGGTTATTGGGATTAATCCTGGATTCAGATTGGACCTGACTCACCTGCTGAATCTCCCTCCTCTCCTCTGATTGGCTGAATACAAACACATGTTCACAGGTAAAATACAACCTGTTCACTGAATTATTGCTTTGGTTTATAATAGTATTCATCGTGTTCTTTGTGTTTTTCCTTTCAAACAAGTTTTTTTGATCAAGTACTTGTGTTTATTATTTTTGATATAAAAACAATCCTGCTCTTACAGCATGTGGCCACTGGAGGGCAGATGTTGCTTCTTTCCCCTGTCACAGAAGCTCATGAGTAACTAAGTTTACTCTGGTCAAGTAAAGGTTATATAAGTAAGTAAGTATAAGTATAAGTGTAAGAATAAGAACAAGTGTAAGAATAAGAACAAGTGTAAGAATAAGAACAAGTGTAAGAACAAGTGTAAGAATAAGTGTAAAAAAGGGAATACGATTTTACATATGTCACGGAACCATGTTATTGTTTTTAACGTGTATTTTATTTTCTATAATTCATTTCAGCCACAGATCTCTTGATTTTTCTATAAATGTTTCTTACTTTTAATCCATTTGCTGTGTTTGTGTGTTATTTTTCCTACATGTATTTATATTTGAATCATTTGTTCTTGATTTTATTTTACCGTGTACTATTTGTCAATGTTGTAATTGATTTGACCAAGACTCTCAGATAGAAGAGAAATTTCATCGTATTGGGACCAAATAAAGAATAAATAACTAAAATAAGTCCTGACCTTCCTGTTAAGTCATCTTTATTCAGAATATAATGTACTGTAATTACACTGTACACACTGTAGGCTATGTATTATTTCCATGTTTTAAATTTCCTTGTGTTTTATTGCATGTTTCCATTTTTTATTGATGTTTCTTAATGTTTGCGAACACCTTTCCTGCCGTAACTCTTCAAATGTCCCTGTATAGAGGAGCTGGGACACTGATGAAGACTTATCTTATCTTATACCCCCCATTAAATGAGCTAATTAGATTTATTTACATGTCCATATGTTCTCCATCATATTTCAGTATCTTGGTATATACACCAGGGATTTTAAGGTGGTCAACAACTGTATTTCCTGAGCTTTAGCACCCACACACACACTCACACACACTTATCATTTGATCACGACAAACAAATTGTAAGCACACATCCGACAAGGAACAGAGGCGTGGGAAATAGTGAGCTGATGTGGTGTCACACCCTTTAAAGCAGACGTTTATTGACCAGAGGTTGTGCAACAGACATTTGAGGTACATGATATGAGTTATTGTGGAGGGGAGGCAACTCAAAGGGAAATCTGCACCATTCAAACTTCCAGATATCAGAATATTTATGGTTGGACACGACAGACTTGGTTGAACCCATTATTTTGTGGCAGTTACAATGGTGTACACAGAAACATACGGAATCCATGTTTACTGACATTCAGAGTGATTGTGGTTGTATAAAGCAAGAACTGCACTTTGGCCTTCATAGGAACGCTGTTTTTTTCCCTCCTCTCACACACAACAAATCAGATGTAGCACCAGCATGAACAGAAACAAACGAACTGTGTTAAAACCCCAAGATAATGTTGCCTTGTTGTGCCCCCCCTCCAATAGGTGTTGAGTCCAAGTGGAAGCCTTGCATGTCTCCCGTTTCCCATCGTACTGAGCAAGTCGTTTTCCCACTAAGACAGTGGGATTCATCCACAAAAATGATAATGTGTATTCTCTCTCCTCCGATCCAGGCTTCCCTAACTGCAGAGGTATAGGTGACGGATTGTGAATTTTCTATCTTGTCCAGTAATCCTGAGGTATAGGAAATACCACTGATGCAGAATGTGACTGAAGAAGGAGAGCAAAATAGATAAAAAATAAAGGGGGAGAGGAGACATGCTATCTAAGCAAACTGTCAAACTGTACAAAGAACATTTCCAGTCGAGTACTCATTTCATGTTCTTCTATCACCATCTACTTCGTTTTTTTTGAATGTATCTCTTAAGCAGTAAAATAATTATATTATAATACAAATGTTTATAAAATAGCAGCACACTCAAGTGACACATCACAACTAGGTAATGTTATTTTTTTTTTGTATAAATGAAACAAATTCATAGCTTTTAGCAGCGCAAAAAGACAACAACAACTCAATAAAAATATTGACACTTTTTTCTTGATGTCTTCACACCTCCTCCTCGGTCCTCTCTTCACTTTGGAATACAGTATCTCTAAAATCTTAGAAAAACCCTTTTGCGGGTCTGGTCACCCCATAAAATATATCAAACACAAATTGTAAAAGGTGGTCTCAATATATAACACATGCAACAACAAATTGCAGGAAAGAAAATCACAACCATTTAAGTTTGGGAGAGAGCTTACATCAGACAAACAGAGGCAAAAATGAAGGGGTGATATCAAATATTCATACACGGGATGTTTTGGCAAACGTGTCATTCAATTGCCCAGTTTTACTGAAAAACATCGCTGAAACATTAGATCCCCACAATTTTCTTCAGTCTGACAAACATTTACTCAGCAAAGTCACATACCGTCATGAAAAAACTCAAGCATCAAGTCAAAGACACCTTACTGTGGCAAAGCCGTGTGTCCCGTTCAAAAACAAAAAGGACAAAAAAAAAGAAAACCTTGTTTTGTGCTGACGTCTGTCTGGCTGATGAACCCCCAATGATTTGAAGCAGCAAAGCTCACAAGGGGACGGATGTGTTCACTGACAGACGATCAGCCCCAACGACAAAAGCCAGCACCATAAAAAACAAAACAACAACTGACCAACCACTGCGACACACATCAGTTAAGGTGGTTTTTAGAGCAAAGGCTCTGCTCCGTCTTGAAAAGAAATGCAAACCTCATTGCCCTCTGAAGAACATGTGCAAATAGTCGATGTTACAACCACCCGCTCCTGTAGCTCATCGCCGCCTCGTGTGACTATCTGTGGCTGTGTTACAGATAAATAAAAAGAAAAATTCAAGTAAAAACAAATATTTCATTTCTTGACAAAGTAAAAGGAAATCAAACAGAACCCATGGATCAGTGAACTCTGTGTATGCTTGTGTTTGTGTGTGTGTGTGTGTGTGTGTGTCGGCATTTTGCGATTCATGTTGGCATTTTGTGTTTGTTCAAACTCTCTGCAACGGTCAGACTCCCCCCGTCAACTCGCACTTAGCTCGGGTCGGAATGTTTTATGATCGGAATGTCCTCTCGTCTCGTAATCGTGTGAAAAGCCGTTTGAATTTGACTCTTGCGTGACAAGGGTATGTCTGATGATTGGGAAACCAGCCCTACAAAGTAAACCAAAGAAAAGGCTAACAAGGAAAATAAAACCAAAAAAAAAAAAGGAAAACATCCATTCACCTCCAATCACCACCCAACACATTTCATTTTGCTCATCTCCTGGGGAGCATGTTCTCAAAGTGCTTTGCCATTGAAATCAAATAGGGGAGCTGAAAACAGCCCCATGTGGGACTCTAGATGCATTGACAGTATCTCATCATCCTGTTCTCCTCTAAACCCCCAAGAAAGTTCATCCTCGCATGATCTGGCAGTGTCTCAGTTCCTTATTTCACTTCTGTGTGAATGGAAACTTAGAGCATGTCTGTTCACTTAGCTTTGTGATAGCAGACATCGTTCACAAGAAGTTTAACCCAGATTAACAGAGAGTTTTATTGTGAGGCGTCTTTTTTAAATCATCATCGTCCACCGCTGCGTCTCTAACGTCCTCCCTGTTCTACTGTCCTGTGCCCTGCACCCACGTGCAGCTCCACAGTGTCTCTGTCTCTCTCATGCTTTCCATGCCGCACCCCTGCTCATTAATAGAGAGGAGTCTAACGTCCTCCAGCCTTTTTTTATAAAAAAGCATCACTTTCTTCAAGACATCGCCCTCTCCTGTTTTTTTTACATGTGCATTTCACTCTGCACGTGCGAGAGGTCTCTGCTCCTCTGTCCGGACTCACAGCAGCCTTTCATGACTGAGGAAACACCATATCGTAACAATGTGAAAAAGAGCAAAGTATCTGTAATATGTCATTAACTGAATGGCAGTAATAAAACAAACACCTCATGTGACCTCAGAGTCCGAGGTGAGGCACCTCAGGAAAACTTAAGGGGCTCTGAGCAGAAGTCCCCTTTGCCCACATCCTCCTTCGCTGAATCTTTTTCTTTCTCACTCATAGTCCGTGCACACGAGCTCACCGCTGGGCAACAATGAACCGTGATGCACTGTTAATGCATGAAGGCAGTGATATAGCATGGATGCCCTGTTTATACTGATGGACAAACTGTGTGTAGCCTCGGGCTCCGTAGACGTTCAACATAGAACCATGAGTCTACGACTTGACTTTGCTTAAGTGCCTCACGCCGTAGGATACACACTGCTAATATGGATACAGGATCACATGTAGCATTCACTCTCTCTCACACACACACACACACACACACACACACACACACACGCATACGCATGCACACACAGGCACGCATGCAAATTGGCATACAAACACGCACACGCTTGCACCTACAAACTGACGCACACAAGCAGCCTGAAAAAAGGAGCTTATTGATCTCTACTACTCAGTTCCAAAATATGTCCAATAATAATATTAATAATAATATTACGAATACTAATAATAATTATTACAATCCCATCTCTTCCCTGGAATTGGGACCCACCAACTTTTAGCATAATGTTCTCACAGCTTCCTCCGTCTCATCCTCAACACACACACACGTGGACCTTCTGATGGTCGAGGAGCTGGGACACGTGTCCTCCCTCACACCGGCCACTAATGTAATAGTGATAATACTCATATAAAACTAAATGTAGAGAGACAGAGAGAGAGATAGAGAGAGAGAGAAATCTTGAGCCCCGCTGTGATCCCATGTATGCAATTTTCTTAATGGTCTCCACAACTTCTACCACAACAGCCTCATTATCAAGCTATGGTTAAGATATAATTTAAAGATCATACTATACAATCAAAGGCAGAATGCAAATATGATTGGCTTCCCTTCTGTATATCCAAGGCACCACAGAGCTTCATCTTGAATCTAATTTGTTGCTTTAAACATCATAGAAAATCAATTTTTTTTTAGGGCAGGCATTTTGTTTTTCTTTTGACTTGAAGAACAGAAAATCTACAAAAAAAAAAAAAAAAACTARCAARCATTGTTCTCTTTCTTTTAAAGGGCTTGTGTTTTTAACATTTTTTGTTCTTTTGTTCTTTTTTTCTGCTTTTAAGAAAATTGAGGGGTTTTTTTTTCATGATGCTTCTTTTTTTTTGTGGAAATCCTGTGCAACGACGCCCTCTGGTGGTTCACAAGTTGACATCACGGACGTCCGTTGGGGTGGAGGATTGATCCAGCTCATCCAGACCTTTGCCGCTGGGGCCCCTCTGTGTCTGCTGCTGCTGCTGCTGCTGCTGCCGCCCGTCACGCAGGCTGCTCACCAGCACGCGCTCAATCTGCTCCTGACACTCTTTCAGAACATCCTGCAAAAGCAAGGGGAGGCAGAGAACGAGCTGTCAGAATATATATCATTATTAATCTGCTAATACAGAGGCAGGAAGTTTCTCTCTTTTCCAAATCAAGCCAGAAAAACTTTCTTGAACAGCAACATTAAAAATGTTTGACACTTGGAAAAACATTGTCTGAGGATCATTTTGTGTCTCTAATAGGACCTAATGAAGTAAACAGTCTTTTTCATGTAGTTAAAAGTTTAAGATTTAAATCCATGCAGGTTGTTTGCCTAAAAACTTTTAATTCTCACATATGAACCTTTTCCATCTGCTAAGCACTTAATTAAGATATAAGCAGTTTAATCAGCTCTTAAGGGAGAAATGGGCTTCTGCAAAAATGTATTACAGTTAACAAGAAAAATCAGAAAACTATAGTCAGCGCATGAGAACCAGGGGCCCCTGGTGTGGCAGCAGATGGGCCCCTGGGCATCTGAGGCCGGGGGTTTTAAATGACCACAGATTGTTTAGCAGCTCCAGCTTCTGCCAAGGCTGAACACAGACCAGACCCAAGCATGACATCAGTCCTGCAGGGCTGTGCACTGAACACCGACCCTATAGTTCTCATGTGCACACACGCACATGCACAGACAAGCGTGTGCATGCAGACCACGACTTCCTTTATCCCACCACCCACCTATCCCAGCCATTCCCAAACACACACAAAACAAATACAGAAGTAGCCTTGACAACAGAGCGGCTGAAAACACAGGTAGTACTAAAGCTATGTTAATTACATCCACCTCCTGTGGGAACACAAAGGTGGTGCTTTTTTAACGAGAGCCAGTCTGTGTGCCTGCCTGCCTGCAGGGGATCCATCTGAGACCCGGCCGGCTTGCCTTTCACCATCAAAGGCTGCGGCGGCAATCTGAGAATCCACCTGGGACGGGAGCCTCTCACCAGCGCTGAGCCCTCATATCCTTCCCTGATGGAGGGTTGACAGAGGGGACAGGGCAGCATGGGAGAGAGAGCGACTCACTGGGGAGGAGGGGAGATGTGAGGAAGGGGGAGGAGGGCTCAGTTGGAGGAGCGCTGAATGGATTGTTCGCAGGAGAGTACGAGAAAGGTCAAACTGTTGTGGGGTGAGGAGCAGCGACGACATGTCATTCAAGATAAAGCAGACGACAAACTAATGTGAACACTCTCGTCAGACTCCGAGTTCACACTGCTCTCTGGTGGTGAAACATTGCAACACACGTGCATGCATAACATAACTGAGAGCGCTCATGGCCGGAGGGACGGGTGAAAGTGTACCACTTGTGGAGCAGGGAGACATTCTTTAGAAATTCACAGCTAATTTAAACCTGATGGGCCACAGTTTGAGTCTGTGTTACAGCTCCTGGTGCTGCTGCTGCTGAGAAGTAAGAGCTGAGACCTCGCTCGCATGAGAAACGCTCTCTGGGAGCACGGCTCAGTGACGAAAGGTCATGGTGTCAAAGGTCAAAGAGCCGGACACATCACAGGGTGAGACGGGCATTGTGTTGCCAACGTTTTAGGGGATTTCTTCTTTCTAAGAGTAGAATCTATAAAATGTCTCAGGTTAAATGATTTTTTGCTGATATCTTAAATCTGTAATTCCTGCCTTGACATAATTTTTATTTTTAGTTCTCCAGCATTTTATCGTTAATAAGCAAAAATTAGTTTTTGGAGAGTTTTTTGTTCACAATCCGAATCTGATTTGATGTTGAGGGGGTTGGTCTGGTCTGGGGTGGGCGCCTCTAGGAGAACGTTTCCCCCAGCAACGGGTCTGACGTGGAGGAAACCCGACCAGCGTCTGTCCCTTAATCTCCTCCAGAGGTTGGCCGCCAACGTGGACACACACACACACACACACACACACACACACACACTCTCTCACTCTCTCACTCTCTCTCTCTCTCTCTCCCTCTCATACACACAGACAAAATCTTCCCACCAACATGCGCCCCATTGGTCATAAAATCTCAATTCCTGTGAGAAAATTAAGTAAAGCGCAGAACATGTTAAGGAACTGCCTGTGTCTTACCGCAAGAATGCTGCTTAAAAGACAGTCTCCCCCCGTCTCCGCTGCTCTTTAGAGCGGCAGTTCGGATCCCATGCCAAGCCCCATGGGCTTTACTCTAGAAACTTTAATGACTTCAATGTGTGACTACTGGAAACACCAATACTGTGTTCAGAGGAGCTCTAGGTACTTGCATACTGAGGGGGGCAAACGGCACAGTTGACCATGGGAGGTAGGGCTTTCCTGAAGCATCTTATTTTGTAGCCTCTGCCCCCGGAAGACACATGACTAACGCAGATCCGCCCTTGTAGTTACAGTCCTCTCTCTATCCCATCTCATACATCACACTGCAACAATACAGCGTATGTGTTTCTTGTCCCTGGGCGGCTTTTGTGACACCGGCGGTAGGTGGAAGTCGTGCAGACGGAGAAAACCAAAAGGAAGAAATGTGTGAAGCCGTGGAATGTGTTTAAACTGCTGACTGCACCACAGAAGACAGTGTTAGCTACTCTGGTAGGAGTTGGTGGTCAGACAGCTGAAACAAACACACACACTGACGACATACACTACTGATTTCAAGGACTCTAGGGGCTAACGCTGGAAATAAGGAGTCACCACATGACTTGAATTTCAACGAGTCACAATAGAGAATGTGACCTTTCTCTTTCTTCAGCCTGCGTGCCCGAACACCACAAGCAGTGGAGCCTGCAGGCTGTGTTAACTGAGATAATCTTCCCTAATAAATGCATCTTTGTTGCAAGGCTCTAACACATTACTGCTGAAAAAAAGAAATAAAAAAGTCACATTTAAACCTCATTACCAGCCATCAGGCAACTTGACTGAAACCAGCTCAGCGATAGTTGGGCCACAGTGGAAACATGGTGATTAGATAAAAAGGAATAAAAACAGAAAAAAAGAGGAAGATGTGTTTCCGGTGTCTCTCACAGAGATCCTGCCCCGTAGGTCCGGCTCTGTGACTATACCTCCGCTTCCGGCAGAAAGGTAGAACAACCCATTGTGTGTTCATACACAGAGCGACACTGTGGAATGAAGGCGTGACATTCCTTCTTTGCACAGGCCGTGTAAAATGTGCTATAGTGTGTGACTGTGACCGGAAAAAAAACATGAATGAGAAGAGAAAAAGCCAAAAAATGATAAGATGTAGGAAGTGATGGCCTTAAACCCACACAATTCTCTAACCACTATTTCCTGTTTTACTCATTCATGATTAAAACACTTGACCTTCTTGAAGCTCACAAGGAATCTAAATGTCCTGCAGCACGTTTTCCAGCTTCTTACTGCAGCTTCCATTGATGGATATTCGAGAATCACAACTGATCTTTCAACACAAAAGACACATGTTCTCTTTGCACATTATGACTCAGCTCATCAGACACATAGCCCCCCCCGGCCACACCAGGTGTTTGTGAGGCTACACACATTCTTCCAGCGGTCCGAAATGGTGACTTGGCTTGATCATGGCTCCACTGGAAAACCACAGGGGGGGGGGGGTCATGATGCTGTTGGCAGCAGTGGCTGCAGAGGTTGGCGAAACTATCTTCTCCTTCATATTTTGCCTGGCTCTCTGGTGGACTCGCAACGAGGAGCAACTCCACTGGCTACCGCTAAAGCGAAAATACAGAGCGATGTGTGTACAC